TGGTACCTGGCATTTGATTTACACGTAAACCCCACGGTTTGATAGCCACACAGGCAAACAATGACATAGGTAACATAATGAACATCACAGTAACACTGACTCTGCCTCATGCGTGTACTTTAAGTTTTGGCTTCCCCACACAAACATACTGCACCTCTACAAAGATCATGTTCATTAATTTCAGTGAAGCGTATGTGACATCATACCACTGCTAGACTTCAGAGCACCCCCTGCCCATACATTGAGAGCATGGGAGTGGCCACTACATAGGGACCACCCAGGATCAAACCTGGCTCCCACCCTCTGCCGTTCCACTTCCATCCTAATCGTCACTCAACGAGAGGTGACGCTATCCCGATCAATGCACATTACAGCGCAATTAGCCGTCTGCGTTGCATCACGGTGATCGAGGCAGTGAGTACGTGGTGTCACGCAGCTGCTTAATCTGCTAAACCTGTGTGGTGTTTTGAATTAGGTTAACATTTAACTTTTTTTTCGTAGTGTTGTGTTCATATGAATGTTCATATGCTTGCACCGAAGAGTATTTTGAGATGCCTAAGGTGTTTCGATGCTATTTGATGTATTTACATAAATTTAAATATCAATTTTAAGCTTACATTACAATTTAAATAACTCAATGTAATCACAATCAAATACCTCAAGTCACAATTGTACCTAACAAGACCTCAGATTTTAGTAGCAGCATTTTATTATAATAATTATTATTCTTTCCCATACCTGGCTAAATTACACGACTATGCTTACAGGTGACACGTGGTTTGTTTTCATTTTCTTCAGGTGACTCTGCATTGTCGTGATGGCATTAACAATCCTGCATATGAGATCATAAGAACCAACAAAGTGAAACTGCAGACATACCTCCAGCGAATTCTTCAGAAGTGCTTGACCCATTCACAACAAGCAGGGATCCTGTACAGTGAATACGCGTCCCTTAAAAGCAAGACTGACCCCATTGCACGAACACGGACCTGGTTGACCTGGTGCTCGACAAGGGAGAAGAAGTGTGCATGAGATTCATTGAAGCCGTGCTGGTGCCGCTGAGATCCGAGATCCCTCCCTTGGTTCAGTGGATATCACAACATGAGCAGCAGCTCTACGTGATGGGTGTCGATCTGAGCAGATCTGCGGGTAAAGCCATCCCTGGAGCAGCTTCTCGTGAGTGATGCTAAACTTCACATATCCATTCACATGTCTCTGTCAAGTTTAAGTGAAAGATTGCTTAGAACTGATATGAACTGTCATTTGATTTTCGCAAACTGCACCACTCTTGCATAGCAACATCCCTCTCAGGAGGAGGACATTCATATTCCATTCCATAGCAGGGTATGTACAAGGGATCAGAAATTTGGAGGAAAGGATGGATGGATAATGGAAATGTGTGTCAGTATCAAAACATTGCATCCACACTGTACCCCAACATTCCTGAATTTCTGTCCTATCCTACACCTACCTTCTTTGCAAAAGATTCACATGGTGATTTTCTCTAACCTCTTCAAACACATACATTTTATTTGAGTTAAAAGAATATAATGAGCTATGAAGCTCTCTTTCAAGTGTGAAGCCCAAGATGTGTGGCCATGGCAGCAAACCCATCTGCTGCCATGGTCTCCATGACTTGGTACAATCCAGATTCCACCAAGTCCATGTCGTTGAAACTGTTCCTCTATGCAGGGTAAATAACCACCTCTTTTAAATTATGGAAGCTGCTTCTAGTTCTTGACTTTTGGGCTGCTTTGGATACCACACACCACTCCATCCTATTGAATCGGCATGGCTACGCAGGCATCTCTCACACTTCCCCATTGCTTCTGCTTCACCCTCACCCTCTAAAAGTGAGCCATATTTTTCCAAGCAAGGACTGCCTTCCGTTCAGAAGCCCCCATTCTATGGTGTTCCACATGGCTACGTCCTTGGCTATCTACTCTTCTCAGTACAATGTCTCCTCCTTTGAGGACATTTTTTATTCCTAATTTTAAATATTGACTCGCTATCACTGCTATTTCTAATGACACCCCGCCTTTTATTGCCATTGACTCATGAAACGGAACCTACTCTCTCCTCTTAACTCTTGAAAAATGTTGATACTCCTACTGATACTCCTGCTGTTATGGAGTGACTCATGCAGCCAGCTATGGCTGAAAAGTTTGGTAGTACATGTTATGTATATCGTTTATTGTTAAATTTTAATCAGTTCCTATGATCACTGTTACATTGCTTTTAAAGCTTTTATTTTGGTAATTTCGAAAACGTTTTGGTTTAGCCATATTTGTTAGTTGTAGTACAGAGTTAGACTGATAACTTTAATCTAAATTGTATTATGGTTGTTATTGTTTGACTTGCATCCCACTGGGATGTTTGCACATAGCGTTGAAATACGCTATTTTTTCTGGAAGACTTTTCTGTTTTTTCCTGGATTTTTCTGTTTGCGCGTAGTCACTTTAAGATGTTTCTTGTTCCTGTTTTTGTTTGTTGCGGTTGCACCCGATTCAAGAGCCGTATGGCTCACAGGGCTATACAAAATAAATGAAACTGAAACTGGATTGGTTATAATTCACTCCAGATTAAACGTCAAATTTGTAGCCCTCGTCATTTGGAAAAAAAGTCCATGGGAGATAATGACTCCGAGTATATGATTCCCGAGAGATTAAAATAACATCAGATACAGAGGGATCACGCTACCCATGGTCACCATTGCCCAACTGGTGAGCCACTGGGTTCAATGTTTCCTTGGAAAGCTGATGGAAGTTATTGAGCAAATTTGTCATTGTAAATAGACACTCTCCACAATGTAGTGGCTGCCACAGTGTTGCTGATGATGCAGTAGCCAGATTAGTTGAAGCTCAAGTGAACCTACGATGCAACACGTGGGATGCTACGAGTTCTGTAATTCATGGTGGCTGCTGTTGTGGAGGTGAAAACACTCCATCTTCTCTGCTGCTAGGACCGTGCCTGGTGTACTGCACTCCACCAGTGTAGTCCCATTGCTACGTGATGAAGGTCAGCTTGAGATGGGAGAGGAAACACGGCCCCAATACCAGTGAAATATAAAAAGTAAAATTCAACATCCTAAACAACAAAAAATAATAATGGTAGGATAAGGCAAGCAGTGAATTTTACACACAGATTGATAGAATTAGGTTGTGATGATGCTGATGTACACAGTAATGCGAAATGTGATGGTACTATATTTTTCACATGAAAAACACACAAGACAAATGGTGGTAACATTTTTGTTATGATAATTTTTTTTTACAAAGGTACAGTACAGTGTTTATAAAAAAATGCATGTGTAGAATACACATTGTGAAAACTTCCACACAATAATTCATGATGTACATGATGGTGATGCATTATCCATGGTGAACGAATTCGCTACGCTTTTTTTTACATAATTTATTTTAAACATATTTGTCTGCTATAGAATTTTTTTTATTGTAAGTGAAACTAATTTGCTCGTTAAATTATTTGTGTCATTTAGATAGCCCTGGTGATGATTACCGAGAATTCTTGCTGAAGCTGACATCATTAACACGAGACTACAACGCACGACCTGGAGAACCTGCAGTGTTTTTGCGAGAGAGGATGGTGAAGCCAATTCTGGTTCCCTACTACCACCAGCAAGAAACCAAGGAGCACGAGTTACTATCGAGAGGCAAGCAGCACGAGATAATGATGGAGAGAGCACAGAGAGAAGGGATGACTTACAATAATCTCTTTGATCCCGTTGAATCCATTGGGGAACAAAACCACCCCCGACTGGTTATTGTAGTGGGGACTCCAGGCAGCGGTAAAACCATGTTGAGCAAATTCATTGTGCACAGCTTGCTGTCAGGAGAGAAAGTGTTTGCACAACGCTTTGAGCACATTGTGCTCATGATGTTCAGGGAGATAAATGATGTTGGAGAGATGTCACTGGCAGAGCTGTTTTCTAAGCTGCACTCATGTTTGGGAAACAAAGCGAATGAGATTTTCACAAACCAAGAGAGAACCCTTTTTGTTATGGATGGATTGGACGAGTTTGGAAAGTGCCTTCACTATGCCAATGCTTGTACTGATCCACGTAAGACGGCAACAGTAGAAACCATAATTGCTGCCCTAGTGAATGGAAAACTCTTGCCCAAGGCCTCGGTCTTGATAACGACCAGACCCATTGCCATGGAGCAGCTGAGTGAAGTGAATGTTGATCTAGCTGTTGAAATCACTGGGTTTTCCAACGAAGCTAAAGTAGCATTCTTTAACAAATTTTACCAAGATAGGAGTCTAGTAGAAAGGGCACTCAAGCTCCTGCAGGAAAATGAAACAGTGAATACATTGTGCCATAACCCTTCATTCTGCCATATAGCAGCCATTACACTGAAGGAACATTTTCAAAAGTCTGAACATTCTGAGATTATCCTCAAATCAATGACCGACCTCTTCACACAATACGTGTTTGGGCTCATAGTACACCATAGACGTGGCAGCCGCAGAGCCAAGGAAATTGTATCACCGCTTGCCAATATGGCTCTGAAGGGGGTTCAGCAAAACATCCAGATGTTCAGCCAAAAAGATCTAGAAGAGTGTGCTGTTAGTTCTTCTGAACTAGGAAGTACATTCATCAACAAAGTGTTCACATGTGAGGGCATTAAACAAGGGAGTTGTTATTCTTTTTTACACTTGACAATGCAGGAATTCTTTGCAGCAATAGCCGTGCATCTGTCACATTCAACATGGCCAGTGAGTGACGTCATCAAATCTATTGAGGATAGCAAAGATGGGAGGTTGGATGTGTTTCAGAGGTTTTTTTGTGGACTAGCATCAAGCACTCCATGGAAGTTCTTTGAGGGTATCTTGGATCCTCCATCTGCAGATTCTCAAAAGGAAATAATCGAGTGGCTCTATCGCAGCATGAAGACTCAGAAGGTTGACAAACACAGGTTCATCAGTCTCCTGCACTGCGTGCACGAGCTGCACGACTGCATATACTTGAGTGATGTGACTCGGTCCATGACTGAGATAGACCTGTCAGGCACAAGGCTGTCCCTGCCAGACTGCGCTGCCCTCTCCTGGATCCTGCAGCATCGAGAAGAGCCTGTGCAGACACTCAACCTGTTCGGCTGTGGCATTGGCACCGAGGAAATGAAGATACTCCAGCCTGGACTGCACAGATGTAAAGAGCTAATGTAAGACTGGCACACCTCGCATTCGCTACTTCACAAATTGTGCGTGCAACTCGTCTTCAAATAAGTACCAGGTGCAGTGTGTAAAATATTGCTACTTGTGAGACAATGGCCGCCAGGCGTGATGCTGGTCACCCACCCCATCATATACCATACCGGCCTTCATAGGTGCTCTCTAACAGCACTTGCCCCAGCAGCTTGTAAAGACTTTTTGGCGGATTTTTGCCTGTAAGAATCCTCACTTAGTAACTGTGCACAGAGTCAAATGCAACCCCATTCAGTCACTACACTACTCTTTGGTTCTTTCGGTAAAGTCACGTAATTAGAAATAAATTAAAATAAAACAAATCACGACGTTTCTATTGCAACACAAGCAATTATCAACATGTGGGAAAACGACAGCAAGATTTTTTTTTGCTGAAGTGGGAGAGAAAGCTGCCGTGGCAAGTGGTTATATAGTTAAGAAGGGGAGATAGGCAAGGAGGGAGAGAGAGGGGGGGGTGTGGAGTAGGGGGAGCGGAGCGCTGCGTGAGCGCTATGAGAGGGTACGTGAGGCTGGGGGGGGGGAAGTGGACAGGGCTGAAAGTGGGAGGCCGAGAAAGCTGTGGATGCGGGGGGAAAATAACTCGGGAAAATAGACTGGTACCCAGCAGATATGATAGACACAACCATAACGCAATTAGGGTTTTACCTGGTTAATAACATCCTTCCAATGATTGCTCAATTTGTATCCATCTTCTCGGTTGAAATTATGTCTATGTTTATATATCTGTATGGCTTCATGAACAAATCTTTGATAGTAGCCCGAAGGTTTGCAGAGTCCCTTGGTCTCGGAAAAAAACAATATCATGCGAGCACACAGCGTTATACAATGGACAGCTACGGCAGAGGTACTGGTTCTGCCGTGTTTCAGATCTGCGCTGTGTTCGCGAACCCGGTCCGAGACATGTAGTTTCGTTTCCTTAATGTAACTGCTACCGCAGGTACAACTCAGTTTGTAGACTCCAAGGTATTGCATATCAGGAATGACCTCCTTCACAGATGGGATTAGATCACTGATTGTGTACTGTATTGAATCGGACCTGGATCTTGTGTTTGTTTAAGATTTTGGAAATATTATTAGTAACACATGCCCTGTATGGTAACATGATGGTTTTGATGGGCTTCTCATGGAGTTGTTTCTCCATGGTTGGAGAAACAGCTTTGCGAATAATGCTGTCCGAGTACCCATTCATCTTGAGGGCTTGGTGTACGTGTTCCAGTTTTGGTGGTGTTGGTCAGAAATGCAGTGGGCCCTATGGTGTAATGATTTGATGAGGGAAGTCTTCAGTCCCGGATGGTGGTGGGAATCAGGTATCAGATAGGAATGTGTGTGGATGGCTTTCCTGTAGACAGTGTCCCAACGAGCCGTCAGGTCTCTTCTCAAACAAAACATCCAGAAATGGTAGCTTACCATCCTTCTCCACTTCCATGGTGAATTAGATGAATGGGTGTATGGAATTGATGTCGTTGAGAAATTGGTTCAAAGCTGGCAGGCCACGTGGCCAAATGACGAAAGTGTCATCTACATATCTCTTCCACAAGGAAGGACGTAGGGTGGATGTCTGGATGGCATCTGTTTCAAATTTATCCATGAAAACATTCGGAATCACTGGTGACAAGAGGGAACCCATGGGGGTACCTTCAATTTGTTTGTAGAAAGAACCATTCCAGGTGAAGTAAGTGTTGGTAAGGCAGTGCCTAACTAGAGTAGGTACATCAGGACTCAGTCCATGTTGTATTAAGTCTTCAATTATTGCTAAGGTGTCAGGTACAGGAACCTTGGTGACCAGAGAAACTACATCAAAGCTGACGAGCAAATCATCTGGGGAAAGTGAATTGCCCTTGATTAGAGAGACCAAGTGAGCTGAGTTACGTACTGCTGAGGTAGTCATACCTGTGAATGTAAGCAAGGTATCTAACAGAAAACGGGCCAGTTTGTAGGTAGCTGAGTTGATAGTGGAAACGATCGGCCGAAGTAGAGTGCCTTCTTTATGGATTTTTGAAGACCATAGAATCTGGGTGGTCTAGTAGCAGAAGGTTTTAGGGAGAGCCGATTGAATGGTTCGATTAGAGAAGTCGAACTGGTAATGATATTGTTGTTTTTTGTAGTCAGGCGGTTGATATGATCTTTGTTGATTTTGGTGTAACTGCCATCATTAAGAAGATCCTGGATTTTGTTGTTGTATGTGGTTTTATCCATGATGACAGTATCATTGCCCTTGTAGGCTGAGAAGATGACTGTCATCTCTATTTTTCAATTTGGCGAGTTCAGAGCGTTCATCTTTGCTGATGTTACTAATAGATTTCTTAGCATTTTTAAGGATGGTGGCTATTTCAGATCTTGCCACGTCTGTCGGGATGTGTCCCAAGCCTTTGAGGGCTACATCTACGTGGGCGATTAAATCATCAACTGGGATGTGTTTGGGGGTGGCAGCAAAATTCAGCCCTCTAGCTAGTACCGATTTTAGGCTATCGGAGATTGTGCTGCTACTCTGATTGATAACAATCTTGTTAATATCCAGCTTTTTAACGTGTGGATCTGGTTTATTTTTGGACAAGTTATTGAATTTAACAATAAGGTTAACCTTACATTTTTAAGACATTGTTGCGGCAGAAGAAGCAGTCATGTATCTACAAGGTTCCAATCAAATGTGGACATTTTATCTGTGAATTGTAAGTGTGATTGTAGGAGACATTTGTCTAAATTATCAAGTTCAAGACGGAGTAGTCTTATCCTCTCTGAGATTAGAGAAAGGCTAGCTCTGAATAAGATCCGTTTGGCATTAGGAGAAGTGACAGAAGCAGATGTGAGTGTAAATGTGGTCGGTATTACCTTGTTGTCGCGGCATCTCTTCAGAAAGGTGAGAGACTCGATCATGTGAGCCTTCTTGTCTCGTAGTGGTGTCTCTGCCATGTCCACGAACACAAGGCAGATCTGAAACACGGCAGAACCAATACCTCTGGCATGGCTGACCATTGTTATAGCGCTGTGGGCTCGCATGATATTGTTTTTTTCCGAGACCAAGGTATTCTGCAAACCTTCTGGCTACTATCAATGGTTTGTTCATGAAGCCATCCAGATATATAAACATAGACAAAACTTCAACCGAGAAGATGGATACAAATTGAGCAATCATTGGAAGTATGTTATTAACCAGGTAAAACCTTAACTGTTTATGGTTGTGTCTATCATATCTATCGGGCACTAGTCTGCTTTTCCGAGTTAATTTCCCCCCGCATCCCCAGCTTTCTTGGCCTCCCACTTCCACCCCCACCCACTTCCTTCTCCCAGCCTCACGTCCCATCTCATAGCGCTCACGCAGCGCTCCCCTCGCCCTACCCCCCCCCTCCTCTCTCTCTCCCCCCTTGCCCCTCCCCCCTTCTTAACTATTTAACCTCTTGCCACGGCAGCTCTCTCTCCCACTTCGGTAAAAAAATATATTGCTGTGGTTTTCCCACCTGATGATGATTGCTTGTCTTGTAATCAAAACGTAGTGATTTGTTTTATTTAAATGTATTTCTAACTACGTGACTTTACCGAAAGAACCAAAGAGTATGGATTCCTGCAGAAACGAAAGCATCAAATCAAGATAGTCACTACACTTGCGTAAACACTCGGACATGCATAGCCCATGCATGAACACAACTTTTGACAAAATACTTCCCCTTGTCACTGAAATCATTGTCCACACTCCTCACTTCACTCCTCTCCCCGCACTCCACACTTACCCCTCCCACTAACCCCCCAATCTGCTCCTGCCTTCATTTTTCCCATAAACCATCCCCCACCCTTGCCCATCCCTTCACTATTCTCCTCCCACGCCCACTTGTCCACGGAGGGAAAATGTTTGGTGAGTGAGTGTGTGCCTGCTTGAGTTGGTGGGGGACTTAGTAGGTGGATCGATGAGTGAGTATGTGGAGTTAGGTGAGGATGTGAGTTGGTGGGTCAGTGGTGTGTGAGTGGGTTGGTGAATGAGTGAATTAGTGTGTGAGTGGGTTGGTAAATGAGTGAATTAGTGCGAGTGGATGAGTAAATGTATAGTGAGTAGATGGGTCTACAGTGAATGCTGCACTGGTTGTACATTAAAGAACAAAAGGAAGAAAAGTTATGCATATGCATGGCTGCTGTAATGCTTTCCATCATCTTAAGCAACATTCAATTAGCAATAATGATAGCCCTCACACGAGGTGCAGCAAGTGAGGTGACCGTAGGCCACACTGAGAAAATGGAGCCCTGATAGTGGATCGGCAGTGGAGAGTGAGGGTAACGGTTTGATCCACGTGGCCGATTCAAGCTCCTGGTTCACAGTGGATCATGTTCAGTGATGGTGCCCTCCACTACAGAAACAGCTTATACGTAATTAATGTCAATCTTAGTTGTAAATCATTAAAGAGACAAAGTTCCCCCAAGTAACCCATACAAACTTTTGGGGAAAGTGAAGCCAGTGACAGAGAACAAGCACACACTACTACACTGCACTTTAGAGCACAAAGACAATCTCCCCGTGGAACCTGCACACACTTTTGAGTCAAGTGCTAATTGTACTTCCCTGACTAGCACCGTCCTTGGCTGTCTTTTTCTCCCCATTGCTGATGTTCATACACCATCCCAGGTACTCATTTAAGGCTGAGTCACCCTAGGGGAGTTCGATGACCAGATTTTTTTTTATCCCTCAGCACTGATGCTGTTACCAGATCCTAGACCCAGGTCACGTAGTTTGTAATGGAATGTGCCAATGACTTTCCCACCATTGCCATAAACGCATAGAAATGCACAATGAAAGCAACTCGTATATACACACACAGACATGTACACAAACAAACGTAGACATAGTTTACATATAAACTCACACACTCCTACACACGTACAGGTACAGCCTTTGGTCACTCCACTGCTGGATAAGGCACTCCCACACCATGCAGGTCTTGGGGGTTATTTGACCATACAGTACATCAACACTCTTGTCGGGGTGGGTTGTTGTCGAACATAGATGAATGTTGTTCCATTGCCATAAATATTGGAATAAGTAGTTACCCCCTGTGAGTGGCTGGCTGAACTTCCATCTGTTGAGGAAGTATGGAAGGCGATCCAGAGACCAGGAAATGCACCGGGCAGAGATGCTCTTCCAAGCAAACTGCTGAGGGAGGGTGGTTTTTGTGTGCAGATTGCCCTGCATGACATAATCATAATGTAAAACAACTGGACTAGTTCCACAGGATTGGAAGGATGCCCTGGTGGTCCCCCTATTTAATAAGTGGGACCACACAAATTGTAACAACTACAGGGGCATCTCCATCCTCAGTGTGTTGGGAAAGGTGCTAGCAAGTATTATTCAAC